CCTGGAGGGTCCTCCTGGAGGACCCTCCAGGAGGAGGGTCCTCCAGGAGGACCCTCCAGGACCCCTCCAGGGTCCTCCTGGAGGGTCCTCCTGGAGGACCCTGGAGGATCCTCCTGGAGGACCCTGGAGGATCCTCCTGGAGGATCCTGGAGGGTCCTCCTGGAGGACCCTGGAGGGTTCTGGAGGATCCTGGAGGGTTCTGGAGGATCCTGGAGGGTTCTGGAGGATCCTGGAGGGTTCTGGAGGATCCTGGAGGGTTCTGGAGGATCCTGGAGGGTTCTGGAGGATCCTGGAGGGTTCTGGGAGTTCGCCCAACCGGTCTTCTTGTGGACTGTAAAGCTAAATGTCCGGTGTTGGACTGTGTCCCTTGGGGAACCGAGCTGTCGGGTCCCTGTATGACCGGAGTCCGGTCCGGTCCAGTTCAGTCCGGTCCGGTCCAGTTCAGTCCGGTCCGGTCCGGTCCAGTTCAGTTTGGTCCAGTCCGGTCCAGATGAGTCCGGTCCAGTTCGGTCCGGTTCGGTCCGGCCTCCAGTCCGGCTCGTTCCGGAGCACGGGGTTTGGCCAGCCTGTCGTTTAGCAGCGATTGTTTTGGTTCCGATTGTTTTGGACTCGCTGGGATCCATTATCTCTGCTGGTTCCGGATGACCAGGTTCTGTTGGGTCCGTTGTTCGTTCTGCATTAGTTTCCTTAACTTGTGATTTTTACTCAATGTTTTTATTTAGTTTAAATGAATCTCTTTATTTCCTCTTCTGTGTCAGCGTTGTCGTCTTGCAATTAGAAGGTTGTAGGTTCGATTCCAGCTTCCTCCTGCCATATGTCGATGTGCCTCTGGGCAAGGCACTTAACCCCACACTGCCTACTGGTCTGCGTCTCTGTGTGTGAATGAATGGGTCAATGTGACTCCAGTGTAAAGCATTTGAGTGATGAAAATGACTGGAAAAGTTCAGTCCATTTAATTTACTGCTTCTTCCACATGATGGTGAAAACTCTGGGATTGGATTAGGCCAGATTACACTCTGAATATTCAGCGCAGAGTTTTCTGTCACACTTCCTGCTTGTGGCTCTGAACTTTGACCCTCACCTGTTTTCCTCCTGTTTTTACCAATTAGCGGCGCTCCAGTGTTCCCATCAGGCCCAGTTTAAAGGAACAGTGTTTTCCTCCATAGTGGCGTCATTATCAGGGTCCAACAGAGGCCCCTTCATCACGCTGCCCTCCTCCTCCTCACGCTCACAGTCGGGCCTTTATCTGCCATCATGTGCTCGGCTCTGAGCCTGACCCGCTTTCCCTGCGTTCGCGGCTCGCAGCATGCGCGGCGTCGCCTGGCCGCCGCGTCGCCTGGCCGCCGCGTCGCCTGGCCGCCGCGTCGCCTGGCCGCCGCGTCGCCTGGCCGCCGCGTCGCCTGGCCGCCGCGTCGCCTGGCCGTGGCTTAACGCTGATTTGATGTTATCTCTTAAGTCGTTCTGCAGAGGTTTGGCTCAGAAATGCGTCCGGCTGCAGCATCTCCACAGAGATGAACCTGAATTCTTCTCCAGCTAACAGAGCAACTGCTGACTGACAGCAGCGATCAGAACCACTGGATAAACGTCCAGAGATCTGGAGCAAAACCCGAAGAAACCAAAGAAACATTGCAGATGAATTTAACGACGGCGCCGCGGCGCATCCAGCAAACTGTGCTGGATCAGGCAGGCGTCTCTATGAACGACTGAACAATTCACTGACATCTTTTAAAGCTTGTTTCTGTTATAAATGTGTCATATTTTAGAGGACAATAACTAACAGGGTTAAAGTTCATTTTTCTTCCTGTTTTGCATCTGGGATTATTTCTCTCAAGATAAATAATCCTAAAACCAAAATGAACTGAACTCTGTATTTCAGGATTTATTTCCTCTTTTCAGCTGGAAGATTATGAACAAGATTCATTTTGGAGTTTTTGTTTCTTCACATCAGACTGAATAGAAATCAGTTTAGATCGAACTTTCTGGAGATCCAAGAAACGAACCGGCCGGGTCAGAACCGGTCGGGTCAGAACCGGTCGGGTCAGAACCGGCCGGGTCAGAACCGGTCATTAACTGGTTGGTTACTGGTTCCGAGGTTAGCATGTTCACAGCCTCTCTGCAGGCGAGCTAACCAAGCTAACTAGCTAGCATCAGCACTGAGTGTTGATCAATCAGCAGAGTAAAATCAACAGCAGGTCGTTTTCCGTCCGTTTGGGTCAGGAGTGGAGCTGCTGCCTGTCCGGCTGACCCCAGGTGACCCTGTGCTGACCCCAGGTGACCCTGTGCTGACCCCAGGTGACCCTGTGCTGACCCCAGGTGACCCTGTGCTGACCTCGGGGGTCACCTGTACAGGTGGGCGCTCCATAGTCATGTTTCTGCTCATCTACATTGAAGTCACTGTTTGTGACTGAAATGTTTTCTGGACCAACTGAGCACGCTCAGATCAGATGCCATTAAAGCAAACAGACATCCCCACATCATGATGCTGCCACCACCATGGAACCTGATTCAGGGACCAGTGAAGCATCCGGTTCCCTGACAGACATTACAGACATTACGAGTGGCCATCAACAGAAATGATGCTGCAGCAACAAATCGGCTGGGTTGCCGGTTTGAATCCGTGCTGATGAGCATCACACTCATCGATCTGTGTTCAGTCCAGCGCTGTGACTGATGTGATAAAAATATGATCAGATTATGTAAGCTGGTAATCTGAGGATCATTGTGGGCTGCTGTGTATCTGATCGTGTCAGGAAAACACGGCTGACCTCTGGAAGTTCACATTCCTGCTCACAGCGATAAACCTGCAAATTTAAGGAGACCCTCATGATCCACATGTGATGAGAAAACAGCAACAATCCGGCCCTTGTGCTGCACATTTCGTCCTTTCCACGAGTTTTCCATATTTTCCAATTATTGGTCTGTCCATCCTCCGCGTTTTCCCGTCTCTGTCCTCATCCTCCCTGTCCTTCCTTTCCCCACATCATGTCTTCATTTCTGCTTCGGCCCATTAACCGGGCCAATCAGAACCAGAACCAGAAACTGGACAAACTGGGACAGCGACGTCCTGCAACCGGCTGGAAATTAGACCCGTTTTCTCATGTCAAATGTTCAGGAGAAATAATCCACAACAGGCCAGTTAGGGTTTGCTGCCAGAGGTCAGAGGTCAGACGGCCACACATCGCTACAACAAAACATCCCAGAATTCACTGGGACCTTTTCTCTTCTCCGATGCTAAATGGAAATCACAGCAAGTTTATTTTTCTAATCACATTCATTCTCCACAATAAAACAAGAAACTACATTAACAATCAGACTCCAGGCCTTGACCTTTGACCTGAGGGGTCTGGATGGTTCCGACCTGAACGTGTCTTGCTGCAGACCATCTGGATCTGAAACCGGCGCCGGCTCGACGCACCGCTGCGTCCTGGGGGCGTGGCCTCTGTTGCTAACGTTTAGCCGTGACGCATGGAGAGGCTACCAAGCTAACAGGAAGTTGAACAACCCGACTTCTCTGCCTGGAGGAAAATGCGGCCAACACCGACTGAACGACTGCGTTCTCTTCCTCTGATGCTGCAACCATCGTTCTCCTGCTGCTGTTCTGTGATTGGCCGGTCGAAACCCACAGAGAAATCCAGCTCAATGGGAGAAATCCCAGAGAGAACTGAAGGAGATGAGAATCGAGTGCATCTGTGTCAGAAAGCAACAATATGGAGTTTATGGATCGACTGAAGGACAAACGATTCATTTCGCTCCAATAGGAACCGATCTGAAAAAACGACGAGTTCTGACCCGGCTGTGACCCGGCTGTGACCCGGCTGTGACCCGGCTGTGACCCTGCCGTGGCAAAGAGACATTTAATCTGCCTGGAAGTGATGTCATAATGTGTAATCTGAGCAAGGAGCAGCAGCCGGGGCCCTCAGGGACCCACAGGCTCTACAAACCCCCGCCGTCTGCAGGGCCCACATCATGCCACCTCCTCCACCAACGCAGCGAGTCGTCTGACGTTTATCGTCGTTTTTCTCAGATGAAACTTCGAGTTTCATCTTTTGGGTCATCTGGACTCAAAGATCAAAGTTCACAGAGAAACCTGGAGCAGCCTGCACCAGGAAGGTTGTGATTGGTCCTCCTGTCCTTTGTTTATTTATTTTTCTGTTTGTTTGTTTATTTACGTCACAGCGGAATGGGGGGGGGGGGGGGGGATGAATGAACGATGCCAGCAGGGGGGGCCGCCAGAGCGCATGCGCCACACAGCAGGTGCTTCAGCAGAAGCTAATCTGCATTGCTAATGACCCCCCCGCCCCCCGCCCCCCTCGGGGTGAGGAACCTCCTAATATGGCGACATGTTTTCACCCGGAAACAATAACTAGAAAATAAAACCATCATCTGGTTCTGATTCCCGCCATCCCCGGATGGAGGGCAAGGCTCGGCTCGGCTCGGCTCGGTTCGGGTCCCAGCCGCTCGCGCTGCTCCAGGCTGACCTCCTTTCCGGCAGACCGGGTTGGATCCCGCCACGTGCGTGTTTCTTGCACGCGCCTCCGGGTTTCACGCGCGCGCGTCGCTCCCGGTTCTCCTGGTTATTGGTGTTATTGTTTCTGTCCACGCACGTAAACAACTTCACGCAGGTGCCGTGGGGTTCGGCTCCCATTCTCCAGACGGCACGTGCACGCGCGCGGGCTCGCCAGCTGAGGCAGGTTTCTGGACAAATATTCCTAAATATTCCCGATGAGCGCGTGCACGTGACTCTGTTGCTCCACATCACGGAGCAGCCGCGCGCCGAACCGCTGGACCGGAACCTGCAGAACCTGTGGAACCGACCCGACAGAGACCCCGAACCGCCGCAGCGGGTCCGCCGCACCGTTAGCGGCTGATTACCCGCGTCAACCTGCAGCCCGCCGCGCGCAGAGCCGCAAACAAAGAGCCGCAGACAGGATGGATGAGCGGATGGTTGGATGATGGATGGATGAATGAATGGATGAATAGATGAAGAAAACGGAACCAACCTCCTTCTGCTCGGTGCGTAAATCCGTCTCCAGACGCGCACAGCTCGGTAATGAGCTTGTTGTGTTGGACGCAAAAAGACGCTGCTGGCGCTAAATCCTCCCCCCGCCCCCCTCCCCCTCTCTGATCTGCTCTCTCCTGCGCGCTCACGTGCGCGTGCGTCGTCCTCTCTGTTTCTCTCTCAGCCAATTGTGTGACTCGAAATTGGCGGGATGATGGCAGGTCCCTTAACGCTCGCGCACGCGTACCAGACGTCCTGGCGTATGGTTGCCCCTAGCAACCATCAAGGTCTCCCCCCCACCACACTTAACACCCCCCCCTTCCCCCCTCCCGCTTTGGGGAGGCGTGAAGGGGTTAAATGTACAGGAGAAATGGAGGGAAGCTTCAAGTTTACAACAAGATGAGGGAGGGCAATGGGGGTGGGGGTGAAGGGGGCAGGAGGGTATAGGAGGGGGTAACAAAGGCAACCAGCAGCAGATACTCGAAGCGCCAACAGCTTAGTGCCCCTGTGGAGCCCGCTTTGTTCTGCCCCATGTGGGGGTGAGGGGCAGGAACAATAGGGCAGAAGGAGGGGGGGGGGCAGACGGAGGGTGGGGGTGTGACCCATCTTCAGTTGGAAAAACCCAAAGAGTTTTGTTCTGGTCCAGTAAAGCCCTCAGTGTTCCTGCAGTAGATCCACGGATCCTGGACTGGACCCGACCAGGATAGCCAGGAGCGGTGGCTAACACCTGGCTAACACCTGGCTGACACCTGGCTAACAGCTGGCTAACACCTGGCTAACAGCTGGCTAACACCTGGCTAACATCTGGCTAACATCTGGCTAACACCTGGCTAACACCTGGCTGACACCTGGCTAACAGCTGGCTAACACCTGGCTAACAGCTGGCTAACACCTGGCTGACACCTGGCTAACACCTGGCTGACACCTGGCTAACAGCTGGCTAACACCTGGCTGACACCTGGCTAACAGCTGGCTAACAGCTGGCTAACACCTGGCTAACAGCTGGCTAACAGCTGGCTAACTCTCTAGCTAGCTCAGTTGTTAACTATTCCAGATGAACAAGAGCCTGACAGGAAGCCGTGACCTCAGCACTGAGTCACATGGATTCGAGGAACCGGAGCTGCTGACCCGTCTGGAACCAGTCACCCGTCCCAGTTGGACCAGTTGGACTGGATAGCAGACTGGGGCTCACTCCAAAGGTTGTAGGTTTGATTCCAACTTCACAGGTTGGGCAAAACATCCAAGTGGATGGATGATTAATCCCTGCAGACGGCTTGTGAAGGGAGGGAGGTCAGAGGTCATCCAAGTGAGAAGGTTTCAGATCTTCCTCCTCTGAAGTGGTGTCCATTCTGATTGGCTGGCACTAGGACACTTAGCAACACGTGAGCCAATGACAAGCCGAGTGCTAGCCAGCATTAGCTTTGGAGACGCGGCGCAAACATGTTGAATGCAGAGCTGAAGTTGGCTTCTGATTGAGAGTCTGACTCACCCCTGGGTGACCAGCCTTGCCATGCTAGCTGTTAGCCACTTTGTTGGTCCAGTTATCCTCACACCCGGCCATGAATCTGAGTGGACTGGCCTCCGGAACCAGAACCAGAATGTTTGGATCTCCTGGAAGCTGCTGAACCCTTTGATGTTTGTAATGTTCCTTTAAGTTCGTCAAGGACCCAGTGACTGGTTCTATGAAACAGAACCATGAAAAGTTCTGGGCTGATGGCAGCATCATGCCGCCGTCATGCTTCTGGGCTCATTGATCCGGATCATTGTTATTACCGTCTCCTTCCTCCACCTCATCTCCTCTTCCTCGCTCACTCCTCATTTTCCGTCATTCCGTCGTCACCCGGCCGCGCCGGAGCCTCGGAACCGGATCAGAACCATCGTGCTGCGGCTGTTGTTCCATCCAACCTGAAGCTAATCTCTTCAGTGTTACGCAACAGAGAGTCTTTATGTAACCCATCTGTAGTTTAGCTGTAAAGGTAAATATTTTATTTCTTGTTATGTTGGCAGAATGAGGCTGATCAGCGTTTTCCCTGCAGCCTGCTAACACTTCCTGTCTGCCTGAACGGCCGGCGCTGCCACAGCTCACAGTGATCTGCTGTTGATCCCCTTCCTCAGGGTCTCTGGTGTCACATCCTTCCTGATGTCACTTCTTCTTCTTCTGCTGTTTGCTGGGATGTTTCTGGGTTCACGCTGCCATCTTTCCGCCATCTTTCCACAGAAATCAGGAATGAGTCGCCATGAGGCATCCAGCAGGTCACAAAATCCCAGGAAAGAGGAAGAAGATTCATCACAGCATTAATGTGATGTTCATGGAAGCCAATTAAATATCTGAACTGAACTGGATCCAACTCTGGATTATATTTAGAGTCTAAATATTTATTCATGTTTCAATGAACCTCCAGCTCAGCGTTAAACTCAGGAGACACCAGATCATTCTGCAGTCAATCTGGACCCGTCCATCTGACCCGTCCCTCCGTGTCCCTCCGTGTCCCATGCTGCTGATTCATGCGGCGCTCCATCGCTCGGCCTCTGACTTCTCATCCACAGCAGGAAGGAAAACAGAAACATGGAGCATCAACAGGCTGCAGCTCATCACTCACTGGAAAAACAGCAACGATAAGCTAGTTAGCTAAGCTGCAGAAACATAAACTGGATTATGTAGCAATGAGGTCATAAACTGCAGGAGAAATAAAGCTGGAGTTAATTACAATCATCAAATCTAAATGAAGCTAATGATAAATTAAGTTAACATGAACCACAGGAAGATAAACTACAAAACATTCAGCTCATGATGTGAAGGTGAAATAAATGCAGCTAAAGTAGGCAATAATGTTTATATTTCACTCCATCTGCATTGTCTATCTATATTTGTTTTTCTAGGTTTATGAATTAAATTTTATTTTGGTGGAGAAGCTTTTATTTTCTTGTTTCCTGTTTCACGTCACATCCTGTGCATTCACGCAGCGTTCCGCAGTTGCAGAGCTGAAAACATCCTTGTTTTAGACAGAATAAAGCAAATGAAACGTTTGCTGCTCTTCTGTCTCCTGACTCAGCCGGAGTTTATTCTGCTCTGATGACCCACAATCCTCCTCTGCTAACAACAGTTAGCTACACTGAGCTAAGGTAACGTACAGCAACATCAGCTCATTTTATGTTATCACCAGAAGGTAAGCTACAGAAATTAATATAACAAATGATAAGATGAACTCAGCTAACCTAATCTGATTAAAGGCAGGAGAAAATAAGCTAAGCTACCTTAGCTAGCTAAGGTGCCCTATTTACCCTAGCTAAATTAGCTAGCTTAGCTAGCTAAACCAAATTAGCTGACATAGAGTGAACCAAAGGAAGATAAATCATAATATCAGCACCAAAACAGTTCTTTTGGTGTTTTATTGTTTCCTTGAAGCCTATAGCAGATGTTTGTTGAGAATCTCTGTAAAGATGTAATAATATCTGCTGTCCTGTTGTCCGCTAGCTCTGCTAGAACAGTTAGCGTTGCTCCCGTTCCTACATTTATAACGTGGCTTTCCTCCCAAACCAAAGAGGATCATGGGAGCTCCAGGTCTCGTGTGCTTCAGCGCTCAGGACAATCATCTTCAGGACGCCGTGAAGGTGGAGACACAGAGGAGAGGAGAAGCCCCCTGTAGCCCCGCCCTCTGTAAACCCGCCCCCTGTAGCTCCGCCCCCTGTAGCCCCGCCTCCTGTAGCCCCGCCTCCTGTAGACCCGCCCCCTGTAGGCCCGCCCCTGTAGCCCCGCCTCCTGTTGCTACGCCTCCTGTAGCCCCGCCTCCTGTAGCCCCGCCCCCTGTAGCCCCGCCTCCTGGCAGCAGATCGTTGCTCCTTCAGTCTGATGGTGGATGGACTTGGCGTCTTGTGTGGTGATGTCGGTGGTTTCGATGATGTCGCTCATCAAACTGTAATGTTTGTTCAGTTGTTTTCTTCATCAATTTTAATTTTCTGGTTTTGTTGTGTAAAGCGCTTCGACCCGCCCTGCTGCTGAGCTGTACAGAGAAATTTCTTCAAGACGGCTGCAGCACAATTGGTTGACTGATTTGATGGGCTTCTGTTGTTCTCTGTTCTGTTTGAATAGCAGCAGCTTCACTTGGAAACTACTGATTTTCCAGGATATTTCTTGCTGATGATGCATTTTTTTCATTCCTCTGATTTGCTCAGATCAGAAGCTAGGCAAGTCCTACTTGAGATAAACGAAGCTCAGCTAAGTTAAAGATGAAGGACAGCAACATAAACTAAAAGTAGTGTGAATGCTGTAAGCTGAAAGATTTTGGTGAAAATGGCAGAAGCATTTGAAGTCTCTGGAAGACTTGCAGAAATGTAAGAAATCAAAAGGATGCACATTGTGTAAAGAAAAACAGTTGGAGCAAAAACTTTCAGTCAATGTAAAAGTTCCACCCAAAAGATTATCAGAAACTGGTGCAGAACAGTGATTACTAGAAGCTAAAGCTAGCTGACATGCTAACAATAACATCTAGACTACTGATGTTCTCTACAGCAACATACTCCATGTAGTGCAGAAAAAACATTGAAAAGTGAAATTAGATAACAATCTAAAGCTAGCTAAAATAGCATCTGTACAGCATCTGCAGTAACACTCCATGCAGAGTGAGCAATTTTTGCAAGTCAGTATCATACTGCATCATAATGTAAAAAATTAGCTAAATGCTAATATTAGCTTAAATGCTATCATAATCATGTTGAATGACACTAACATGCTGAGAAACTAACTTAATCAGTTTAATTAGTTAACTTTGCCTTTTAGTCAAAATTAGCTAAAAAGATAATGCTGGCTTCAATGCTGTCATCATCATGTTGACTTACACTAGCATGATTGCTTACACTGCAAGTTTTATTAAAATGTCTAACAACAGCACATTATCTACCAATACGCTGCTCAATAGACTATTGACTATTCCAGGAACAGGACTGCTAGCTGAAAACATGAGCCGAAGCCTCTGGCCAAGGCTGTTAGCTAACGTCGCTAAAGCCGCTAACTCATACCACAAGCTGACATTAGTTGAAGCTGCTAGCTGAAGCCGCTAGTTGAAGCTGCTAGCTGAAGCCGCTAGTTGAAGCCGCTAGCTGAAGCCATGTTTTCGTGTCCATCCTCTGAAGCA